CAGAGTCAGAGAAGCTGAGCGTGAATCTCAGCTGGGTGATCTCGGGCAAGCTCTTAACCCTCCCCAGCCTGCTGTTATTACCCCCAGATGAAGAACCTAACCTCTCGGGATCGTGGTAAGGACTAACTGAGAACACCTGCACAAAATGGTTCACTATGTGGTAACTTAAGAAAGAAAATAGTGTTTAAATATTTAACTTCAAATGCTGTCTCCCCACTTAAGTCAGTACTAAGATAAATGGAACTTTGTTCTGTATAGGGTAAAATACCTCCGTATTAAAATAGCATACATTGTAATTTAGCCTGTAGGATTGGACTGGATTTTTAAAAGTAGAAAAATCATATTTCTATGGCACAGATATTTAAGGAAGTATATTATTCAAGTATATACTTAGAGGTATGTCTTGGCTAATGTTCAGGCAGAAAAGATCCGTTTCATCATGGCAATTTGCATATTTATCAGCTTTCATTATCTGTAGGTATTAGTGTTGAAGTAATTTTCTTTTATGATCATTCATGACACTTAATGAGTGACAATACACTTGAATTTTTTAGTGTTTTAGAATTTCTAACGTTATTGAGGATAAAGGCTCTTCACCCCAGATATCTTTAACTCAAGTGCAGTGTCCCTTGAGTCTGGGTTCTCAAACTGTAGCGTCGTGATAATCACTTGAATGCCACCCTCAGCATTCCTGATTCCTAACAAGTCTCAGGTGATGACCATGCTGCAGGTGGTCCAGGAACCGCATTTTGGAAATTGCATGCATGCCTCATTTTACTGTGCTTTGCTTTATTGCACTTCACAGGTGTTGCACTTTTTACAAACTGAAGGCAAGACCCCTCCACCCGCAAAAAGATTATGATTGGCTTTATTTCGATACCTGCTTTATTGGGGTGGTCTGGAACTGAACCTGCAATATCACTGAGATGTGCCTGTACTGTCTTAAGCCAACAAACTCACTCACTGCCTACATGGCTATTTACTGTTCAAAATGTAACTCTCTGTTTTATATTTACCCTCTGTTATTTCCACACTGAATTTTTGTTGATAATAGTAGTTAGAAATATTACTTTAAAATAAATGTTCTTGGGGAAAAGAAGTAATTTGTAAACTATCAACCTTCCAGCTTCAATCACTTATTATTGATGCATTCCATGGTAAAGGATTTCAGAAAATAAAAGAATATTTTCAACAGAGATGGAGCCACATTCCTCAAAAATATAATCATCTTGTATTATACCATCTTGACAAATCAATAAATAAGGCAAGTAAGTTTTTTTGTTTTGTTTTCTGACCAGAATACCAATGTGCAATGATACGTTGGTTTTATTGAGATGTAATTGACACACAGCGCTGTTTATTAGCTTAAGGTGTATAGCATAGTGCTTTGACTTACAAGTGATTGTGAAATGTGAAGTGATTGTGACAATAAGTTCAGTTAACATCTGTCATCTCATAGAAGATAAAAGAAAATTGAAAAAAATAGATTTTTTTTCTTGTGATGAGAACACTTAGGATCTACAGTAAAACCTTGATATAATGGACTAATTCAGGCAAGGGGGGTGTCTGTTAAAGCTGAAAGTCTGTTAATATAATAAAATAGGTTTTCCAAATGCATATGTTAAAAAATTGACCTGTTTACCTGTTTTTACTTAGAGTAGACATTTAAAATTACAGTAATTTTAAATTTATACTGAGTAGGTCTAGTAAATGCGTGCATTTACAGGCCACTGAGAGTAAACAAATACACATGGCTGGGGCGGGACTTAGCTCAGGTGGGAAGATCGGCCTGCACACGTTAAAACTGCAGCAGAGAATCATGCCAGGCGACAACAGAACCAATTACCAATTACCGAGCACTATGTGGTGTGATCACCTGTTAATCATTTGCCGAACATTATTTACGAGCAGTGACTCTTGGATTTAAATATGTAGACTGTAGTTGTGGATATGTAATATTATTTATGTTGGTGAAATTACTACAGTGTTTTTTCCAACATATGGCCTATTTGCTAAAATTTGTTAAAAATAACAGTGAATTGATACCAAAAATAACCTGTTAATTTAATTATAAGCAAGTCTTGGTTAAAAGCATTTTTTTTTTTTTTTTAAACATGACTTTTATTGATTTTAGAGAGAGGAAGGGAGGAGAGTGAGATAGAAACATCAATGATGAGAGAGTCATTGATCGGCTGCCTCCTGCAGGTCCCCTGCTGGGGATCGAGCCCACAATCCAGGCATGTGCCCTGACCAGGAATCAAACCGAGATCTCCTGGATCACAGGCCGATGCTCAACTGCCGAGCCACCCCAGCTGGGTGGAAATATTGTCTTTTAAATCCGAAGTTCGTTAAATCGAGGCCTACAAAATCGAGGGTTTACTGTATTCTCTTAACTTGCATTGTAAGACTTTTAACTTAGTGTGGTCTCATACCTAGGAACTGGATAAAAATGAATTCCAGTATGTTTCATTGCTGCTGAAATGTATTCAGCGGTTCTTCATTGATGGCCTCAAAGAAGAGGAGCCTTTGCTAATTCAGCAGGGACTGATCCCAAAGATAAGTGTCCTGTTTTAATTTTGTATGGCTTTGGGTAACTTAACGAACTAGAGTGGATTCAGTTATCTCATTAAATTTGATATTTTATGTCCCTTTAAAATCAAATTTGAAAAGAAATTAGTAACAATGCTTATTGCCCATATCCAATCAAAATTGAGTTAGCATATGTTTCCTGATGGGTGTGCTGGACGGGCACTTTGGGAGCACATAGCAAGGAGTCAGACACCATCCCTTCTCCTCTTGACAAGCCAATGCAGTAATCACATGTTTTTATTTAGTGAATTTGGCTTAGGAATATAAGATGAGTAGGGAGTAGACTATTCCACACTTCTCCCCCCAAAAGGCTCTATAAATATTTTAATAGACATTAGTAACAAGATTGGACCTAGATAAGTTATCAAATACTTCCCTTTGCCACAGCCAGCTTTTCCAACTTTCTAAAATCCCAGTTAAATCTGAAAAAAAAAAAAAAAAAAACCACACAAAAAAACCCCCAAATAACAAAAACATTTTTTGCTTATTCTAAGTCATCCCAATTATAAAATTCTAGCCTGTTTTTTAATAACTAGAAAGTAACATTATGGATGCCTTTATAATGGTACCTGGAAGCAAAGCAGAGTTTGTAAAATCTCTTGCTGCAGCTCCCTCTTCATGATGAGATTTTGCAGCCCTGAGACTATTTATTTATTGGTGAGGAGGTGGAGATAGAGCGACAGAAGGGTGATCAGGCGGGTAATAACATCTTTGATTTATCCCCTGGACTGTACCGTCTGAAATTTGTTAAGAGAGAGAGGAAGGGAGAGGGAGAGAGAGATAGAAACATCAATGATGAGAGAGTCATCATTGATCGGCTGCCTCCTGCAGGGCCCCTGCTGGGGATCGAGCCCGCAACCCGGGCATGGGCCCTGATCGGGAATCCAACCGTGATCTCCTGGATCCTAGGTTGATGCTCAACCGCTGAGCCACACCAGCCAGGCTGCCCTTTTTTTACTCAAAAATGTGTCTATGCAGCTGCCCTCCCAGGGGAAAAAGAGTAAACACCAGGCTTTCCCTAAGTCTTCTCNNACTGAGGGTTGTGCTTATACAAACTGAATGTAATTCATTTTTCATTTACCTACCTCCCTGATACACACTCAGGCAGATAACAGGAAGCAGGGAAGAGAAGATAAAACTTGAAAGGAAATGGAGCAGGGGTACCTTGGAACCTTAAGCTGGTTATGGGG